CAAATAGGAGCAATGGTTCTCGATCTACAGCGATTTTAGTGCCGCGCGGCGGCAGTTCCGCCGCTCTGCCGACGCGCTCGCCGGGCCGGCCGCGGCCGGTGGCGGCAGGCGGCTGCAATGGAGCGGACCGGCCACGACGGTTTTCCTCCGGAAAAGCACCCTAAATTTTAAGATATCAATTTGAAATTTGGCAGGGGGGTCACTCACTGACTCCACCATCGAGTCGCCTATAGAGACATGCTGCCAGGCGGGTTGCCTACTTCCAGGGGCACTTGACGGGAAATGGGCGATTTTGACTGCTTTTCCCTCGGAAAACCTTCTACCAAGTGGAATCCCAAAATGTGCGCTGTTTTGTCAGCTTTCCATCGAGTGGTCTGCGGCATTGCTCGCCCTAGCGAGGCCCACAGCGCAACGTTCAAAGCGCCGCGAGGTGCGCGGTTACAGGTGCTGGCGGGGTCGCGCATCCTGAGCCGGGAGCGTTGTTTGGCTCCCTCGCAACCGTCGCAACCGTCTGTCATAGTAGACTATCCCTACACTTAAAAATGGGAAAAGCACCTAATCTCTAGATTGTATGCGTGTATTTGAACCGTATTTCGAACGGTTCGATCATCCACGCCACGGGCCCCAAGCCTTTGAACGCTGCTACTCGAGACCGGCCCTGTCTTCTCATCGACTCTGCGTCGGGAAATTATTTAGTCGTGTTCACCACCCAATACTATAGCATGGCGGTCAAAGAGTGGCCCGTCCTTGCCATAGTACTCGCAAGGCGCTAAAAAGTTGTGCGCTACACTGGAGTAAAATGTCCTGTGACTTCAACGGCATTGCGCCGTGCAACCGCGAAGAAGCCGATGGCCGGCTTCTGTTATACACGTCGCGGACGCAGACGTGTCACGGGGCTGCAGCAAGGTGATGGTTCGGACAGTGGACAACCGAAGTCCTTGTGCTGGCAGTCCTCTTTCCGTCACATTATATTTGATAGAACTATGTGCATAACTGGGCAAAATCCTGTGTTGGTATCATCTTGTGGCGCTGTCGGCTCCCATGGACACCCACAGCTCCTCGATGCCCTGAATGTGACGGAAAGAGGACTGCCAGCACAAGGACTTCGGTTGTCCACTGTCCGAACCATCACCTTGCTGCAGCCCCGTGACACGTCTGCGTCCGCGACGTGTATAACAGAAGCCGGCCATCGGCTTCTTCGCGGTTGCACGGCGCAATGCCGTTGAAGTCACAGGACATTTTACTCCAGTGTAGCGCACAACTTTTTAGCGCCTTGCGAGTACTATGGCAAGGACGGGCCACTCTTTGACCGCCATGCTATAGTATTGGGTGGTGAACACGACTAAATAATTTCCCGACGCAGAGTCGATGAGAAGACAGGGCCGGTCTCGAGTAGCAGCGTTCAAAGGCTTGGGGCCCGTGGCGTGGATGATCGAACCGTTCGAAATACGGTTCAAATACACGCATACAATCTAGAGATTAGGTGCTTTTCCCATTTTTAAGTGTAGGAATAGTCTACTATGACAGACGGTTGCGACGGTTGCGAGGGAGCCAAACAACGCTCCCGGCTCAGGATGCGCGACCCCGCCAGCACCTGTAACCGCGCACCTCGCGGCGCTTTGAACGTTGCGCTGTGGGCCTCGCTAGGGCGAGCAATGCCGCAGACCACTCGATGGAAAGCTGACAAAACAGCGCACATTTTGGGATTCCACTTGGTAGAAGGTTTTCCGAGGGAAAAGCAGTCAAAATCGCCCATTTCCCGTCAAGTGCCCCTGGAAGTAGGCAACCCGCCTGGCAGCATGTCTCTATAGGCGACTCGATGGTGGAGTCAGTGAGTGACCCCCCTGCCAAATTTCAAATTGATATCTTAAAATTTAGGGTGCTTTTCCGGAGGAAAACCGTCGTGGCCGGTCCGCTCCATTGCAGCCGCCTGCCGCCACCGGCCGCGGCCGGCCAGGCGAGCGCGTCGGCAGAGCGGCGGAACTGCCGCCGCGCGGCACTAAAATCGCTGTAGATCGAGAACCATTGCTCCTATTTGCGATCCGAAACACTCCACGGACGGGCAAGAGAACAGCGCATCTCGTGGTACAAAAATATTTGTACGGTGTGTAAGCAAAAAGTTCAAATAACTGCAATTATAGAAACTAGAAACACATTTTTTGCTGTGGACGCCACAATTCTCAAGATTTAAGCGCGCCAATTTAATTGAAGCTTCTCCCTGTGTGTCCGAACACTCCGCCGCTTGAACGGGTTCGATGCGACTTCTTGTTCCCAAATTATAAATTTTTCGCCTGTAGGTAGGCAACCCGTTTTTCACCCTGTTCCGGCGAGTTGGCGGAATGTCTCCATAGCCAGTTCTCATCAGGGCCGTCTAAACTACCGATTCCCGTTTGAAAATCGTTTCGATCATATTTTGAAGTTAAATGACGTTATTCCCCACACTAACACCAGTGGCTGACTTCGCGTCCGTTCGCAGTCCGGCAGGCCGACCCGCCGGCGGTGGTCCGGGGAGTGTATATAACCACGCCTGCAGCCCAATCCAGACGTGTCTTTGTCCCGCCGTCGAACAAAAACAAAACAAACAAAAAGCGGACGACTCTTGACACCTCGCATATCGACAGCGCGCGACCTGCAGCGCTGCATTGTTCTCGACAAAAAGCGTCGCCCCATGCATCATGCATGCGATGATCCAGCGACAGGTCCATCAAACACTTCATTATTTCAGAGTTTCCGGTGTGATTCCAGCTCGGGGGTGGAGGCACTGCGGCAGTCGCACCGGACTTGGAGGTCCTGGAGGAGGTCCTGGGACCCGCGTCCCGGACACTTACGAGGGGTAGGGGCCAGTGCACCGCTAGGCTCCAGGGGAGAAACAAATGAACACGTCGGCGAAGGATTCGATTTCGAAATTCATGGGCGTCCACATACATATTCGAGGCACTTACCTTACGGCGAGTTATTTTGGGGCCGTGTTGTCACAGCCACACGCAACGCGTAGCAACGCGGTGCGCGCGGCAACGCGGCGGGGCAGAAAACAAAGAGACTCCTTTTTATCTGGAGGGGCGGCCGGGGGGCAACACTGTTCCAAATTTACATAGCCCGTCATCTCGGGAAGACAAAGTAGAATGTGCCACCTCGACGCCGTGGCGGCGTGGTGCGCCGGCCCGGCCCACTGCCACACGGCGTATGGGGTCAATCAAAGGAGCTAACCGAAAAGGGGGGGGGGGGGGGGGGGGGGGGGGGGAGAGAGACACTCTAGGCGGCACTGCCGGTCTTTCACCTCTTTTTTTACAAGGCACCGGTAAAAAAGGGCCGGGGACGAGAAAGAGAGACGAAATATGTAGAATAATTGTTTTCGGTGCGTCGCCTCGCTGTCCGCCAGTTCTACTTCCGGTGGTTGCACCCAGTAATTCGTGAACTATAGCAGGGACGCGCTGTCATCACCGACATCCCCCCCCCCCACCTTTTCCCATCCACTCGGGGGGAAATCATGTGAAAGTCCCAGCTGTGACATCAATTTTCCAATTTTCTACGATTTCTTTGGTTATTATCTCAAATTATTTCTTCGTTCAGTACGTTTATTCATTCACTCAGCCAATTCATGAATAAGTCATTGTTTCCAGTTCACAACCTATTTCCTTTAATTCATTCAATTTTCCCAACTCATAAATCATTCATTCTCATAAAGCACTATTTTCACACTATTTCCATTCGTACTTGTACGTCACCATGAGACTGTGAAAATACATTAGTTCTTACAGTTCTGTAGTCATTCGTACTTCTCAATAATTCTCAATAATTCCATAGCCCAATTCATCCCTCTTCGAAGTCGTTCAATCATCTTATTCATTTACCGTCGACGGGGCGTCACTTTGGGCACCCGGGGTAATTCATGGCGCGAAGCCCAATATCGGCCTGCATGGAAATCTAAGTAGACCAAACACGCTTAAAACCTTACAAAGTATTTTGAGCATACATTATTCAAACTAAATTTCTTTGTTATTCAAAGAAATAGTTCGTAAATTACGAAGTATTTTCTTTGTAAGCTTATGTATGCTCAAAATACCTTGTTATAACAAACTGCTTTTCTTTGTAACGCCTAAAATAGTTTGTAAGGTTTCCTCAGTGAAACTGTCCGAAGCCACCTCCAACTACAGGGCAGCCCCCGACGTCCAGAGCTACCCCCTTCGACGGCCACACCGACGAATCACGGCCTTCCCCCACCCCAGCCTCGCCGTGTCCACCGCGTCCGCGGTGGCGCCGGTCCGCATCGTCTTCGACAACCCGCCGCCCCGATCCCTGTCCAAAATAGCTCGTCGGCCCGGTACCTCGAATCTATCTAATCGAGGAGACTTCCGCAATAAGGCCGATAAGGCGACGGTAGGCGCGATTACGAGGGTCGTTGAAGAAGCCGCGTTACGGCACCGACGGACAGACAGACAGACAGACAGACGGGCGGACGGACCGAGGGACGGACAGACGGGCGGACGGACCGAGGGACGGACAGACGGGCGGACAGACGGACACTTCGGTTCCCGGTCGATAGATCAGCGACGTCGGTCCAGCCGGGGCGCATCGCGGGGGCGTCGGGGCGCCGGATGTCGGCCACTTGCAGCCAACCAACCCGTTGCAGCCGTCGAGGACGTACCGATTAAACCGGCGTCGTCGAGAACGAGAAGGTGGGCGATGGTGCTGCACGGACTGCAGGGCGCACAGTGGGCCAGATGACCGGTGGGGGCGGCCAAAACTCTTAGACGCGTTTTGAGCTCCAGAGTCACTGAATGAGACTCGAACCGAACGTCTGACCCCACCAATAGACTGCTCTCCGAACGAGGAATCCATTGGTGGGGTCACACGTTCGGTTCAAGTCCCATTTAGCGACTCTGGAGCTCAAAACGCGTCTGGAGTTTTAGCCGCCCCCACCGGTCTTCTGGCCCACTGTGGGGCGGTAACGCGCACGCCCCCGCGCTGCATCCACAGCCCGCAAGGGCCAAAAAGGATACGATTCGGAAGGCCTCGGCGCGGAAGCGGTGCACGTGGTAGTTGTCGCCGGGCTGGAGGTGGCCCAGCAGGTGGTGCGGCACGCCGGCCATCTCCTCGGCCGTGGCCTTGTTGGTCAGGATGTCCAGGCCCGCGTACACCTGCAAGCAAAGGCCCACATCAAACCTCTTGTACACGGCACTTCACTGAGCGGAGTCCAAACGCAGGCGAACGGTGTCGGCCTGGCCGCCGCCTGCCACCGTGGCAGGCCTCCGGTGCAAAACCAGAGACGTTTGGTCGAACTCACGTTTCGACCGCACACACCGTACAACCCCTGCGAGCGGATAGCACCGCCATCAGGCAGGATAGAATCATGGCTGCCGCGGCCCGCATAGACGCGCTGAGACACTTCGATCGCGGCGACCGTCTTCCGAGCGACACCGGCCAATCGGCTACTGTAAAAGCCATGCAGCCACTCTGAAAATCACGACGGGGCGGAACCCCGCACGGCTGCACACGCGCGTCCCCCGATGACGTCAGCGCGCGTCAGCGGGGCGCATTACCTGTCCTGCACGTGCAATTTCACCGCATAAGACGGCATGACCGCGGGCAAATCATATTTTCCGCCATTTTCCGCCATTTTGGCGCACAGGGCTGCACGTCGGATGGCCGTCGGACGGGCGTCGGGCCGCGGCACGTAGCCTAGATAAGGCGCCGCGATGGCGCCACCAGTTTGACGCACGGCCTATCAATTCGAGGCGCCCCTTGACACACATTGTAGCGTACTGCCGCACCTGTGGGCACACTTTTCCGCGAACTCACAGGTGGCACTGCACGCCAAGTGGGACTCAAATTGGATCTGTTGTGAAAAGAAAATGGTTTAAAAACCAAGTTTGACCGTTAAGGGTCCACGCCGCCGCGCCGGTTCGCAGCTCCGGTGCCTATCCGCGCACGGCCAGGCGGGCAGGCCGACAGTCTAACCCGCGCTGGCCGTCAGTGCTGCAGTACAGTCCGTCAAGTGTCAGGCTGACGTCAATGCACTACACGCGGCAGGCCCCATCGGGATCTCTCTCTCTCTCTCTCTCTCTCTCTCTCTCTCTCTCTCTCTCTCTCTCTCTCTCTCTCGCACTGCGACGGAACGCCCCGCGGCAGCGAGAGAGAGAGAGAGAGAGAGAGAGAGAGAGAGAGAGAGAGAGAGAGAGAGAGAGAGAGAGAGAGAGAGAGAGAGAGAGAGAGAGAGAGAGACTCGGAATCGGCCTCGTGGCGGGAAGGCGTCACTCGCGCGGGCTTCTGTTCGGCCGTTCGGCGCGGCGAATTCACACAACGCGTACAGCCCCGGCCGGCGCCAGGCCTAGAGGCCAGGTCAGCGCGCCGTACTGCGAACGTGCTGACTCAGTGGGTGCAGTGGCGCTCGTGACATCAGTGCAGCAGCACGCGGCGGCACGCGGGCCAAGTCCACGCCGCGTGATGCACGCCGGCCGCACGCCACTGCAAAAAAACGATGTTCAGAAAACCGCCAAATTACTGCCGCTGCGTTTCGAGCGCGTTGTGGTGGCGCACCCTGCAGGGCCGCGGGGCTGCGCGAGGCCCCATCGAGTGGGGCCGCGACGCCACAGCGGGGCCGCGGGGCCGGGAGCCGATAGCCTTGCCTCGGCAGGGAGCGCCAACCTAAACCATGTCCCACTGACTGCACGTGATACGGCGAGAGCTGTTAGCGCGAACCACTTTTTCACGACCAATTTACGCAGAAATCGGGTCCAGAAACCACGGCTCGGCGCAAAGCGTCGACGGGGTGCTCCAATCACCGACGACAGGCCGACACCCGAACCGCGCGAAACGAATGCGAAGGTTGGCACCGCTCGTTTCAGATAACAAGGTGGAATGCGGCAGGCACTTTAAAAGTTGCGAGAACTCGACACACTGGGGCCGGCCGTGCGTTCACAAGTGCCTTTATGTCATCGATTGATTATAGGTTCAGTTTCGGAAGAGCAGAGTACGCCACCGTCCGACGGTTGTGCAAGAGTCAGAAACACTCGGATTGCTGCTGACTTTCCGAAACTTCGCCCAATGACCACGCAGTTCACACCGCACACTGTAAATGTCTTACGGTGGAAGGCTGCACCAACATGGTGGGGATTTTCTCCATAATACCAACGAAATCCGTCAAAGTATCTATAAGGTACAGTGAATTCTCAATGGCATGTTACGAGGTCAGCTGCACCACAATAATATGGAACATTTTAACCATAATATGGAGAATCATCACTGTACAACATTTAGAGTGCACCACGTTACGGAATAGGCACCGATTATCGCTAGGACGCCGAGACCAGGCACCCACGCAAAAAAATGTAAATCAGACCCGTGCTAATTTTTTTAACAGATCGTTTTTAGCACGGGCGCTAAAAAACTAGCACAGCTACAAGCTACCTCAGGTGCGCGCGGCCAGATGGTTAGCTGGTTACCTGCCAAGCAACCACTCTCGCAAAACACAAATTTGTGGCGGATTTAGCCAATTTTGTTTGTTAATACTGCTAGTCGTGGGCTGCTAACTATTGTTTGCAAGCCTTCAAAAATTTCTAGTAAACAAGCTAAATGCGATCTGACGAGACCAGTTGATGTCATCGTCGTCCAGTCACCGTCGCGGTGGAGGAGATCGCCGCGAGAGTGCGCTGCGCGCGTCGCGCCGCCGCTTGCGCGCGGTGACAGTGTCAAGGGGTTGACCACTCAGCTCAGGAGTGAACACAGGATTACTGATTACCAGTGATTACCTACAAACATACCCAAAAAAACTCCATAATTTTGGCCAGCTAAGAGCATTTTGGTCTAATTTCATAAGAAAACCCCCCCAAATCCGATAAAAACGGCGAAACTAGCCAGTTTTGGTGTGTGATTACCAATGATTACCGGACGAAGTGTACACACGATTACCAGAGTGGGTAACCCCTTGGACAGTGTAGCATGCGTTTTCACTTAGTCTGGGCGCCATCGTTTCTACAATTGTCTGCCAGGTGGCGGATCGCTTCCCCTGCTGGAGAGACACTTGACTCCAGCGGGCAATTCTGAGTGATTCGTGAGCGCGTCAAGGGTCACTGACGACTCCGTCCTATTTAAGATGTGTCCGTGACCGTTAGACCACATAGAGTAGACATTATTCGTAATGATGGTTTCATCTTTTCATCTCGGAATAACTAGGGGGCAAACAACTAGAGTAGTTCATCAGCAAGATTTGATTGGTTTACAGCTAAGGATTCCTTACAGTTCCAGCTAGGCCGTTAGATCCGTTGCTAGAATCGCCCAGCTAACACTTTTTAGCCACACAGTTAAAAAATTAGCTGCGCCTATAGAGCTAATCTTATTGGTGCGGGTGCTAATTTTTTAGCTCTGATGAAAATTATTTTTTTGCGTGCCCCTTGCTGTCCGCGGCACCCCCCAGGCCGCGCGACAATACACGCAAAAAAATGTAAATCAGACCCGTGCTAATTTTTTTAACAGATCGTTTTTAGCACGGGCGCTAAAAAACTAGCACAGCTACAAGCTACCTCAGGTGCGCGCGGCCAGATGGTTAGCTGGTTACCTGCCAAGCAACCACTCTCGCAAAACACAAATTTGTGGCGGATTTAGCCAATTTTGTTTGTTAATACTGCTAGTCGTGGGCTGCTAACTATTGTTTGCAAGCCTTCAAAAATTTCTAGTAAACAAGCTAAATGCGATCTGACGAGACCAGTTGATGTCATCGTCGTCCAGTCACCGTCGCGGTGGAGGAGATCGCCGCGAGAGTGCGCTGCGCGCGTCGCGCCGCCGCTCGCGCGCGGTGACAGTGTAGCATGCGTTTTCACTTAGTCTGGGCGCCATCGTTTCTACAATTGTCTGCCAAGTGGCGGATCGCTTCCCCTGCTGGAGAGACACTTGACTCCAGCGGGCAATTCTGAGTGATTCGTGAGCGCGTCAAGGGTCACTGACGACTCCGTCCTATTTAAGATGTGTCCGTGACCGTTAGACCACATAGAGTAGACATTATTCGTAATGATGGTTTCATCTTTTCATCTCGGAATAACTAGGGGGCAAACAACTTGAGTAGTTCATCAGCAAGATTTGATTGGTTTACAGCTAAGGATTCCTTACAGTTCCAGCTAGGCCGTTAGATCCGTTGCTAGAATCGCCCAGCTAACACTTTTTAGCCACACAGTTAAAAAATTAGCTGCGCCTATAGAGCTAATCTTATTGGTGCGGGTGCTAATTTTTTAGCTCTGATGAAAATTATTTTTTTGCGTGTAGTGAGTGGAGCCAGGGGCGGCCTGGGGCTTCCCTGCCGAGGCCGCGGAGCTCTTGCGTCACTCCAGCTGCAATGTGCTTCTGCGAACGCGTTGACACACTGGCACCCACACGCCCACGCGACCGCACCCCCGGCCCACCGCGCCCGTGTTCCAAGTGTTTCCTACCGCAGGGCCGCCGCACCGCACTGCAGTGTACCCACGCCGGGCACCCGATGGCACCGCTCAATGGGGGTACACCATATGGTCAGCTGCGGCGCCCGCGGGGCGGGGCGGGGGGCGCCGTCGTGCCCGACCACTTTCCCAAGCCGGGCCGCCGCTGCGCCGCTGATTCACACTCCCTCCAGTGCACTATACATCTCCCCCACCCGCCTGGACTCGGGGGAGGGGTTGACTTCCCTGACCTGGCCCAAAGGCGCACGCCAGACACGCCAGCGTGCATGCGGGCCAAGCCCCCTCCACTGCACCCAGTGGGGCGACAGCCGAGGTGGCGAATGCGCTTGTTACCCACTGCACGGCAAAACGCCGGGCCGCGGCCGTGGGCACGCGAACCGCAGCGCACCGCTCCCACGGCGACGCGCACGCCAAAGAAATCCTTCAAACGGTCGGGGCTTCCTGCAAAGTAACGGCGGGCGACGCGGCACTCTAGAGTAACCGAGGAACCCCGCGCCAGGTCCAGACGAACCGTCATGACCCGAGCCCGCCTGGCTCCCGACACAGGCCACTTTCAAACATTGTTTGCTGGCAGATCAGTCTCACCCGTACCCAATTCCATCGTAAAATATGTTTTCTTTCGACAAAGCACGCACGAGACATCAGATATGAGCCAAAATCGCGGAGGCGTATTCCCGGAGCGAGACTTGGACGAGCCGCGCGGAGAACCGATG